GGGGGGGGGGTACAATCTTTCGGAAGGACTTCAGAATCCTAAAGAGGGCAGCGGTGTGAAGAACCTTATTCAGAAGGCAACTTGGCAATTTATAAAACACTAAACCTACAGGTGAGTCCTTTTTAGAAGGAAATAATCCAAAATAATATTTTTTTAAAGTTATATGTATTGATGTCAAGCTTGTTATAACAACCAAAACTTAGAAGTAACCTAAATATCCAAACAGGCAAATCGTGAATTAAATTTGGTGCCCCCACATCATAGAATATTAACCAGCCATTTTTAACGATACAACATTTTGGAGCAGTACAGACTTTTATTTATACCTAATGCAAGTAAGTGGAAAAAATGATTTTAAAATGCTACTGGTGACTACAATTACGTGAAAAATTTGTATGACCTCGAACATGGACTAGGGAGAAGTCAGCAAATGGAAGAGAGGACCAGGCTCCTAGGTGGCTGGTTGCCTATGAATCCCAGACCCCCTGTACTGGAATTATTCTGCCTTTATGGGGAAAAAATACACAAACTACAACTTACTCTCCAGTCTCTAAGTTGGTTTATACTATCCTACTATGGGGTCTAGCTAACTTTCTAGAAGTTCATCATTTTGTTGTGATCATAAAAATACTCTGAGAAGTAAAAGTGTAGGGTTTTTGTACGCAATGGAAGTCATCTGCTTAAAACAGACTGTCGTAACTGGAGACGGGACAGACAGCACGGGGGCTGTGGTGACTAATACCGTACTGTATGCCTGGAACTTGCCGAGAGTGAAGATTGTAAGTGTTCTCACCACACACACACACACACGCACACACAGAAGGATGAGGAATCGTTAACTAGCTTGATTTGGGACATCATTTCACAAGGTACAGCCATATCAAAATATCACACTTTATTCCTTACATTCACATAATGATCATCATACTTCAGTAAAGCTGAAAAATAAAAGTACTCCATTGTCACTGCAGAAATTCAGAAAGACACTAAAATCTCACAGAAACAACGTCCACAATGCTGACACCCAGAAACAAATCACTGATACCATGCCAAAGTGCCATTCAGTCTAGGAGATGGACTTGGGACACATCTGAGCACTTCAGGAAAATGTTTTTAAAGGCTTTCAATTATTAACTTAACCACCAGTACGCCTGCACTTTAAAACTTAATGTAACTTCACAAAGTATGTTGATAAGGGGGTGCCTGGGTGGCGCAG